TTTTCATCGTTCAAGTTGCCAAGGCGCAGTCAAGCCAATTCAATGCAGATGATGAAGTCAATACAGGTTTCCACGTCTTGAGACCGAAATGTCTAAACTTTTTAGGCGACACGAGGAAAATTGTTTATTTTTGGTTTATAAATGGTGTTTAAAGACGACCAGTAAAGATAATTTATGAGATGTGTTTGTCTCATTTCATTTAGGTTGTTTAACGAATTGCAGCTGAATTTTTCCAACCTTAAAACTAACTCTAACCCTAACCCTAACTAGACTTTTTGTTTCCATGAAAGTTCACGAGTCCTTGATTTAAAACTGAGTGGACGGCAGTTTCGACCTCACCTGAACTAATCTCATCAACACCTCCAGAGAGACTCGAACCCCGACAATAGGCTCAGGCATTTTAACACATCACATTCTGTAGGGGGATTGCCGACGAAGTAAAGTTGTGTTTGATTATACTACTTATTTCTCATTACTACTTGTAGTTGAATATTCCCGCAATAATGTGCGTAGACATTACGTTTCCATTGAAGTTCACATATCCTTACTTTACCAAAAGGTATTCTCATCCAGAGTCGACTGCTACCTACAAACGAAAAATAAGTAATTAACTTGATTACCGTGGCAAATATATCGTTGTCTCATAGACAAACCCACCACAGAATGTGGTATGAACAACCCCTGTGACCATAAGAGCATTCGCGGCGCTGTCGCGTATTAGTTGAGGTGTCGAGAGTAGACGGAGCATTCTCTTGGTTCGAGTCCTTGTTGGGGTTCTGACGAGGCGAGACTGCAATCAGATCCTGCCTGAATAGGAAACATAGTTGGAAAATTCAACCACCTGTTCTGTATGATTTTAAACGAAATGGGGTGAGCACATCTTAGATTGCTTTTGGACCAGAGTCGAATCGCGTTATTTGTTGCCTCCGGCATCTTTTCAGCAATCTGGCGTAAGTGGGAAAATAGTAGCATCTTCAAAGCCAACTGTTGTAGCGGGCACGTTTTTCTCGCGCAAATGTGGACATTTGCATGTTGTCACCGGTTTGCTCTTGTCCACTGTTCAGCGCATTCCCGGAGGCGGGGATTCTGCTCTTCTATTCCGCGTTCGACAACGCTCCTCGTCGCAGCATCATTCGCCAGTTCGTGGGCCCGAACCCGCCGTCTGGCTCTGCTCCTACTACAGCCCTCGAGACGGCGTCAGCCTGAGCCCCGACACGAAGCTTCAGATGACCCGACAGCCGCGTCGAGACGTCTGGCGTTTCAACTGTCCCGTGCCTCCTCTGGCCGGACTCGGCGCACCGATTTCCCGGTCCTCGGGCTCGGGCTCGGGCCAGCCCACTCCGGCGCCGAGTAGAGCCTCGGAGCCGGCCAACTTGTCGCCAAACGCAAAGGCGACAAGCACCGCGAGAAGCGGCGAAATGCCACAACACACCTACGCCTTGACGCCAGAAGCCTCACAATCGCTGTCGCCTGGGCAACAAGGCCATGCCACCGCCCAGCCGCAACAGCCCATGCAACAGCAACAGCAACAGCAAAAGCCGGGCCATGATAGCCGCCGGCCCCAGAGCCTGAGGACAACGACAAATCTGCTACATTGCGGACATACAGACGATGCGTCGTGCATGATGTGCTCCAAAGAGGTCGAGTTGCCAAGCATTGGCTCTCATCTTCCCGGACCCGATATTGGCGCTCTGAGAAAGGCCAGAGCGTGAGTTTAATGAAGCCTATTTTACACATTCTGCCTCAGTTGACTCGCATAAATCTGGACCAAAAAGAAATTTCATGTATCCTAAATGCCTGACCCTCTTTTACGAAATTATGAATAAAAATTGAGTGTCTGGTTAAGAGAATGTTCATCTCAATCTGCATGATGCTGGTAAAGAAAAAGTCATATAAAACCAAGTTGAATACCATAATTTCAAATAGCACCCTTGTTTTCAGAAAAAGCCTCATAAATTTGAGGAAAGGGAATTATTTTAGCATCTTTTGTTGAACGAAAATTCGCTCACACAAAAAATGAATAAAAATGAAGAACATATTTTTCTTGCGCCATACAGTGAGAAAAGTTAACTAT